ACAGACACTGCTGTTTTTGGAAGATAATTTGAGCTGCGGTGTCACAGGGCCTGGGCCCCCGGAAGTGGTTGTCAGAATGGTGTGGAGGACTGACACACTCTACTGCTGACCCCGCACGTTCGGCCACCCTGTTAAGTGGGGGACACTAGGGACAGAGATGCAAATCACATTGTCTCGTTTCAAGAAGTTCACAGTGGACTAAAGGCCATGTCCAACCTGCCTTTCTTTCAGGGACTTTTTCTCATATAACCGATGACTGTTTCTCTATAGCTAAGAACTAATCCTCAAAGAAAAAGTGAAAAATTCTGGCAGTCACCCAGAATTGGAAATTCAGGATAGATTGACATTTTGGAAAGCACCAAAAGGAGACTATGATTTTTCTTCTTTTCAAATATTTGCTAAAAACAAACATCAAAACCCATTTTTAAAGAGGGGATATCACCTTTATCGCCAGTAATTTGGATTCAGGAAATCTGGGTTCTAATCCTGTGATTTATCTGCTCTGGACTTCATTTTCCTTACTTGTAAGGGATAATATACAGTCTTTCCTCTTCAAATGAGATGATGGATATTAAAGTATTGTGTCAACAATGGATATTGAAAAATTATTGTAAATGGTTAAATTTTTGGTAAAATCAAAGCTGCACTGGAAGATGCCTGTAGCAGGCGATGAATTGAGTTCTCCCATTCCCTTGCCACACTGTTCAGAAGCTCAGAACTTGATACTTGTGACCACCCTATATATTTTCAACAATTTGTATCTCCCCAAACAGATTTTAAGTTCCACACTGATAAAGGAACCATGCCTGTTATTCATCAATATATCACAAGATATCTAGAACATTTCCTGGCACAGAGTAGGTACTCAATAGCGAGTGGCTGAATGACATAAAATAATTAACGATTATGAGTGCCTTTCCTTTCCTGTTAGATGCAGTCCTTTCATTTCTGGCCACTTAATTATCAGCCTACGTTTACAATATCTTTTTTTCCACTAAAAGATTTGCTAAATATCTACTATGTGCTGGATATTATTTTAAGCCCTGAAGATAAAATGGTGAGGAAAAAAATGACTGGGTGCCTGCTTTTATGGCATTTGTAATGAATGCATTTTTATTACAATCAGCTTCACAAATCCTATCTTTTCCAAACTATTTCTATACATTATTATTTCTATTAAAATTATTTAAAGTTAAATAATTTTATGTCCTTGGGATCATTTGAAACATCTTAGAGTATCTCAAGTCCAAGCAAAAGAGAACTTTGTCATAAAGAATGATAACTGAGTTAAAAAAAATTATATAGTACAACAATAATCAATATCCACACTACTGATATTTAAAAAATAATTCTATCAAAGTGTTTTTTTAAGTGAATTTCAATTACTGACAGAGTCTTTTTTTTTTTTTTTTTTTTGCGGTACACGGGCCTCTCACTGTTGTGGCCTCTCCCGTTGCAGAGCACAGGCTCTGGACATGCAGGCTCAGCGGCCATGGCTCACGGGCCCAGCCGCTCCGTGGCATGTGGGATCTTCCCGGACCAGGGCATGACCCCGTGTCCCCTGCATCGGCAGGCGGACTCTCAACCACTGCGCCACCAGGGAAGCCCCTGACAGAGTCTTTAATGTCTGGGCTAACACAGAGGACTGAATTTTTAAAATTCAGCTTGTTTTTAAAATTAAATTATGTCAACCAACCAAAGAATAAGCACATACACTTGCATACACATGTGTGTGAGACATGAAGCTAGAGAACCAATATACAGACCGTTCATGCTTCAACCAAATATTTTGTACATTAAAGAAAAAAACCAGATGGAGGATTCCAGAAAATGATAGGATATTAATTTATCAAAATTGGCAATCAGCAAAGCCTAAAAGAAAACAAATTATTTTAAAATTGAAGTATGGTTGGTTTACAATGTTTCAGGTGTACAGCAAAGTGATTCAGTTATATATATATATATATATATATATATATATATATATATATTTTCTTTTTCAGATTCTTTCCATTATAGGTTATTACAAGATATTGAATATAGTTCCCTGTGCTATACAGTAGGTCCTTGTTGTTTACCTATTTTATATATAGTAGTGTGTGTATGTTAATCCCAAACACCTAATTTATCCCTCCCTCCCCCCTTCCCCTTCGATAACCATAAGTTTGTTTTCTGTATCTGTGAGTCTATTTCTGTTTTGGAAATAAGTTCATTTGTATCATTTTTTTAGATTCTACATATAAGTGATATCATTTAATATTTGTCTTTGTCTTACTTCACTTAGTATGATAATATCTAGGTTCATCCATGTTGCTTCAAATGACATTATTTCATTCTTTTTTTATGGCTGAGTAGTATTCCATTGTGTATATATACCACATCTTCTTTATCCATTCATCTGTTGATGGACATTTCGGTTGCTTCCATGTCTTGGATATTGTAAATAGTGCTGCTGTGAACATTGGAGTGCATGTATCGTTTTGAATGAGAATTTTCATCTTTCCCAGATATATGCCCAGGAGTGAAATTGCTGGATCATATGGTAACTCTGCTTTTAGTTTCTAAAAGAAAAATTTGAGATAAACTTGTCATTGAAAGAGTTCTTGCCTCCATTGATCTATATTTGTCTCTTGCTTTTTTAAAATACTTTGTTCCCCTTAAAACTTATTGGAAATTCCCTGGTCCAACTTGAGGCTACTTTTCTGCAAAGATTCCATGTGGCCTCAAAAATGATATGTATTCTCTTATTGCTGGATGCTGTATGTATGTTTTTAGGTGCTTGCAAGTTTAGAATTATTTCCTTAGAGAATTAAAGCTTTATTAGTATTTACTAATCGTCTTTATCTCTAGCAGTACTTTTAATACCGTCTCCCCTGTTTGACTTTTTCCTAGGATTTCTTTTTCCATGAGTTTATCCTAACATCTTTCTGCCTCTATGCTTTAGTTGTATCTTTTTGTATATACCATATAGGCTGCGTTTGTTTCTAAATCTATCTAAAAACCCCATCTTCTAACTGGAGTTTAGTTCATCTACGTTGATTGAGATAAACTATATGTTTGAAATCATTTCTTTTATCTTATTTCATTTTTTTCCCCATTTTTGTGCCTTTTCAGTGTTCTTTTTTAATTCCCTTTTCTTTCCATCTTTTGGATCGACTCTGCTCCCTACTCACACCCCAATCAGTTTATTTTCCTCCACCAGTTTGGAAGTTTTACATTCCACTTTTTTGGCTACGTTTAACATTTTAACATGCCCGTTTAACTTAACAAAGTCCAAAGCAAACTGGCATATTTATCTTCCTTCTCAACAAAAAGATAAAATTAAAATGCTTGAGACAGTCACTAACTTCACCCCACATGTCATTGTTTTCCAAGATATAAATTTTATCTTTATTTTTTTAAAACCATAAATTGAATTATATTGTTAATTTCTTTTACAGTCAATATTTGTTTAGTTTTACCCGTAAGTCCACACTGTCCTTTATTTGGTATTTTTATTTCTCAGATCTTCCTTCTGGGATTCTTTTCTTTTTCTGAAGAACATCACCCAGACATTCTTTTAGTTAAGAGTTTGTTGGAAGTGAAGTGGTTTTTTGTTTTTGTCTAAAAATGTCTCTAATTCACTGTTGTTCTTGATAGATGGTTTCACTATGTATGCTATACTATTTTGACAGTTCTTTTCTCTTAGCACTTTAAAGATGTGTCTTCTAACTTTGATTGTTGCGGTTGAGAAGTAAATTATCAGTTGTGTAGATCTTTCTTTTCAACTGCTTTTAAGATTTCTTTTTTCTGTTCAGAGTTCTACAGTTCCTCTACAATGTGCCTCAGTGTGGATTTCTTTTCCTTTATTCTGCTTGGGATTCACTGGGCATTCTGAACCCAAGTGCTGGTGTCTTTCATCAATTCCTTTAGCTCCTCAAGTGTTTTCTCTCTTCCATTCCCTCCTTCTGAAATTCTGACAAGCACATTAGAGATTTGTACTCTGTCATCTGTGTGTCTAAATTTTTTAACATGTCCATCTTTTTCTGTCTTTCTATTCTATTTTCCATATAATTTCTTCAAATATATCTCAGAGTTTAATAACTCTAATTTCTGCTGTGCCTAATATACTATTTAACCCATCCATTAATTTTCTAATGTCAATTTATATATTTTTAATAAATAAACATTCTATAGTTAGGTTTTCCTTCAATTCTGCCTGGTTAAATTTTACAGTCTTTTTTTAAAATTTTATTTCAATACCCTCTTTGATTACTTTAGGCATTTTAATAGTATTTGTTTTATATTCCATTTCTAGCAATTTCAGTCAGCCACATTTTTAAAACTCAGTAATTTGTTGTTTTTGCTGTTTCTTATATACAGGCTAACTTGTGTGTATACTAGTTTTTGCATGTGAGTTCATGTTCCTTGAGTGTTCTGGGCGGAAATCCTTTGAGGCCTGGCTTTGAAGTGTGTTTTTCCGGAGAAGACTTGTGTTTCCTCCTTATAGCCATCAAGAGGCACTGCCACCCAAGACCACTTTAAACATAACTTTTAGCTTGGGTTTTTTTGGTGCCATGCAAGCAAGATAGATTCTGGCTTCAAATCCTCAAACACTGCCTGGGTTTAGGAATTCTCAGAGGAAACTTTTGTTTTTCTTTCTTTCTTTTCTTTTTTTTTTTTCCTGCTCCCCCAGAGTCAAAATCAAATCAAGTATATTGTCCATTTTCTTCCTCTACCAGTTGTGGGTGTTTCTCCTTAGAGGAATCCAGCTTTATGTAGTCTCTAATCTTAACCCCACGCTGCCCAGGCTCACACTTCGTCTCTAGTTAGAAACCAGACACTAGACCACCCACGGTCAGAGCTCACACAAGTGCAAACTATCCCCAGGGATCCATACTTTCTTTTATGTCTGGCTTCTTTTACTTTCCCAGCAGCTTATCCATGCAGGGACAAAAAATATGATTTTTACATTTTAAGTGGGTTATATATCATGAGAAGTTTATCAAAGCATCTTTTTACCATGTTGCTGCTCAATCTTTTCCTTAAAACCTTCTTCTCCTTTTGTTCCCCTCTCTTCAAAAAGCCACTATAAAGGAAAAACAAAATATTAAGTAATTGTGTTTATTATAACACTGTTAATCTGTTTGCCATTTGTTGGACAAAAAGTGTCTATTTTATGGATGTTTTTAAATTGATGTTCCATCCAAGGTTAACACTACATTTAGAGTGTCCACTGACATGTGTTTACCCTGCAAGCTATTTTCTTTGGTTAACCTCAATAAGTAAGTCTATGGTGTAATGCCATGTACGTAAAAGGCATTGTCATTTAAGACAAACAATAGTGTTTCTTGGTAAATATGCAGCCTTAGGATATATAAAGCCATTCTTAATCCCAGTTCTAAATTCTATGTCCCTACAACACCAAGACACCTTCACTACTCTTATTAATTTCTATTTGTTAGAAGATTTCAAATACTAATTAGGTGCTGTAGAATGAGTTGGGGACCTAAAGAAGGAACAAACAAGCATTTGTGGAAAGGCTGCTCTTAGCAAGAAGCCATGCTTTGTGTTCTGAGCATCAGGAATGAGTGATAAACAGTCTCTGCTCTTAAGTAACTTGCAGACATAAGAGCTAGAAAACATGGTTTTTAAAACCTCTTGGATCCATATTTACTCACCTCTCAGGTCCTATAGGAGGGAAAATGTGAGGGATGGATATTGGTTATAAAATCAACAGTGTCTACTACCATGGATTGCAGCTGGGCTATCTGGTATATCAGAGGAGGCTCAGGCAAAAGCAAGATTGCAATGACGGATGGTGGGGTCATGAGTACAGAAAAATCACTGCTAAATAGAGCCGAGCATGGAGGCTTACACTCAGTAGCAAGCACAAAAGGGAAGAAATCAGATATCTGACAAAAATTCATGATGCTGTCTGTACTTTACACCCTTGTTCAAAATGTGGTCACACGCCAGAACCATTGATTCCAAATCTGCATGTTAACAAGATCCCCAGGGAATTTGCATGCCCATTAAAGTTTGAGATGCTGTCATAGAGTAGCCAGCTGGCCTGATTTACTCTGGACTGAGCTGGGGGGATTTCAGTGCTAAAACTAGACCGTCTCAGGCAAACAGGGGTTCTGGTCACCCTAGAAGCACTACATTAAATGGTCCCAACTAGTTTCCTCAGGGGTCCTATGCACTGGGTAAGAGAGAACTACAAGTGAAAATATAGAGAATTCTATTCCTGGGGGTCTGAGTGGCACACTGGAAGGAGAAAGTGTATCCCTATTTATAGAAGAGAGCTTTGGATATGGAAGGTAAGCAGGGAGGCAATGGCAGAGCTCTAGGTGGTAGTAGTGGAGAGAGCAGCTTTCTCAAGCATCGTTTGTCACCAGAGTGTTACTCATGGCTACATTGTGGAAAGCTCGAGTGGCACCGGGACATGGTGGGCACAGAACCACAACAGGCAACCAGCAGTGGTGCAGGGCCCCAGCCCCTGGTCTGGAGAAGAACAACAGGAGCACCTGTGTGCAGCAGAGGGGTCAGAGGTTCAGGGGTGGCCAGCAGGGAGGCAGTTCATACAGACAGACGATGGCCCAGAGAGGGTAGAGAGCAGCATTCAGAGCAGAAATATCCAGGAGAACAAGGGGAATGTGACTGATAGGTGAGAGTTGACATCCCATTTTTGATGCATGAAAGGTAGGAATTCAGGGCTTCTCTCGGGCTCCAAAGCCAACCATGAAGGGAAGAGTTGTCACCCAGATTTTCTACCACCCAGAAGTCACCGTTGGGAATAAGGTGTGCTTATACCTTCCATCTGTTCCCTCAAATGTAATTTTTCTGCTGAAAAAGCTTGGGGTTTTTGTAAGAGCAAATACAAATTAAAAATTAAAGTCTTGGTTCTTCCTGTTGAAAATAAAGATTTCCCTCCCTTCCTTTTTCGTAGAGCATTTACCTTAGAAAACTTGTGAGTACTTTTTCATCCCTCTGACATGCACCTCTCATCAGTTTTATGACCCAGGGATGTCTTTTTGGAAACCATCTTTTTGAAATGTGAACATCAAGGGAGATGGCGCTCCTATTTCCCAGTTCCCAGGGGAGGGTAAAGCCTAATTTCAGTGGGTGCCTTGCTCCAATTTGCAAAACTGTCTCTTGTCATAAAGAGATAAGAAGTTTGTTTCTCTTCTGGATAAAGCCAGTTAGCTAACAACATAGGTGGTCTCCCCAGTTCCCATGGTAAAGTTAGGATGAACTATGTGTGACAAAGGTGCTGTTAAGAGCTCTTACTTGAGGATTAATGATTGTATATCCATGTGTTTAATGACTTGTATCCGCCTGGCCCCGCCTGTACAAGGGAGTGAGAATCCTTTCTGCCTTTGCAATCACTTAGCAAATTGCCTGTGAAGCACATCACATGGTTTAATGCTTTTTCAATAATAAAAGTGTTTTCCTTCTTTTCTACCTTTGTGGAAAGATTTTCTGGGCTGGGAAGAGGTTTTGTTTTTAATTCTATTCTCCCAACACTTTTCAGTAGAATGATACCCAACTAAAGTTCTTAAACATGTCTGGACCTGTTGGTTTCCTCCACTGAGCTCCAGTGTCCTGGTATTACCTCCTCAACAGTAATGCCCTGTGTTAACAACGCCCTTGCCTTCCAGGGGCATAAGCACTCCCCCTGAGATGCCATTCACAGGCTAAAGCGGACAAGGTAGAGTTTGAGCTGATACACGGATTACATCCCATCGCTCTCGCAGGTAGGTTTCATTCAACAAAAGATGTATTGTCATGGACTACCCTGGTGGTGCAGTGGTTAAGAATCCGCCTGCCAATGCAGGGGATACAGGTTCGAGCCCTGGTCCAGGAAGATTCCACATGCCGTGGAGCAACTAAGCCCGTGCACCGCAACTACCGAGCCTGTGTTCTAGAGCCCACAAGCCACAACTACTGAGCCCACGCAGTCGCAACTACTGAAGCCTGCACGCCTAGAGCCCGTGCTCCGCAACAAGAGAAGCCACTGCAATGAGGAGCCTGTGCACCGCAACGAAGAGTAGCCCCTGCTCGCCACAACTAGAGAAAGTCCGCGTGCAGCAATGAAGACCCAACGCAGCCAAAAATAAATTAATTAAATAAATTTTAAAAATAGATGTATTGTCATATGTGTACCTGACAGTGCTAAAACTCAAATATGGTCCAGTCTACAGGTTTGCTAATTCTTAATCCTAAGGTATTTTTTTTCTTTTGCTATTTAACAAAGACAGTATCTCTAAATATTGTGTCCATGTGGCCTACATAAACAATACAAATTAAACAGATTGGCCATCAGCTCTATTTATTTCTCTATATTTATATAGTGATTTTTTTTCCTTTTATCAAATTTATTTCCATGCATTATCTCATTTGAATTTTACAAACATCCTGTAGTCACGGTGGGTGCTATTATCCCTATATTTCAAGTAAATACACAGTTTCAAAGAGAATAACTTTCTCACGGGTAAACAGTGAGTTCAAAGTCCATCATGCAGGCTTCCTGACTCTGGTTCCAGGGCTCATTCCACATAGCCAACAGCACCTAAGTTTTCAAGCGTGTTTCAGTTAGGAGCAGCTCACTAATGAATGTGTTGTGTCTCCGTAATGACAGATCAGAAGGATGGAAAATCCCAGGGCATTTGAGCTGTTGACAAGGTGGAGCTTTGGTCTGCTGGCAAGCAGTGATAGGTTTCTCAGGGTTTTCAGTGGTGGTGAGATAGCATCCAAGGTGATGGTGAGATAGCATCCAAGGTGATGCTTCTATGTTTCTTTTATCTTGGCTGAGACCTTGGGAAGAAGTTAAAAAGCTGGAGGAAGATTTGTTATTTGAAGAGGAGACTTTTCTCAAGAATCTGGCATCCAACTTTGTTTTGCTAAGCTTTCAGGAAATTAATAGGCTGTACTGCAGCCTTTGGAACTGGGCTGGTAGCCACTATTGGATATTTAGTCTGTCGATTAAAAACACTACGGTTTGAAACCTTTTGCAAATTAAGACAAGCACCATGTTTGTTTCTGCTCTGCTGAAGGAAACACATTTGCCTTTTCAGCTAGAGCTAATTAACCACACCTGAGAATATTGCTATTCCTGATCATGATCTGCCTGCCTCTGTGAACGGCCTTCTAGAACTTTCTGTTCTTAGCTGTCTTTATACCTGGGAAAACTCAAAGAACTTTTACATTGCATGGAAGACCAAGATGTGAAAGAACAACTTTCCTTTTCATGTGTGGGTCGTAACTCATCCACTGGGTTGCTGTATTGTGTTCTACTGATGATCTATCCCAGAGCTTTTGTAAAATTGCTTCTCTAGGTGATGGGTTGGAACTTCACTGCACTGGACAGATATGGTGGGCAGAGCTGATCCTCTGAATCAAGGAGGTTTGTTTTGCTTCATTAAAACTATTCTAGAACTGAACCTTAAAATAAGAATTGACAGAGTTGGATGGTCCAAGGATGTCATAAAAATTTGAACCAGAAGAAAATTCGTATCCTAAAAATAAAGGCTGTTTTGGTTCACTGAGTGCTTCTTTTTTTTTTTTTTTTTTTGTGGGACGCGGGCCTCTCACTGCTGTGGCCTTTCCCGCTGCAGAGCATAGGCTCCAGACGCGCAGGCCCAGCGGCCATGGCTTACGGGCCCAGCCTGTCCGCAGCATGTGGGATCCTCCCGGACTGGGGCACGAACCTGCGTCCCCTGCATCGGCAGGCAGACTCCCAACCACTGTGCCACCAGGGAAGCCCCAACTGAGTGCTTCTTGAGTGCAGGATCTGGGTTCTATTTATCTCTGTATGCCCAGCCCTGTTCCTGGCACACAGTATACCTCAATATGTATTCCTTGTTGAATGTTTACTGACCTGGGAATGTGTTCATGGAAGCTGGTTTTGGATGACACAGCAGAGAGAGAGAACCCCTTGGCAAGACTAGGACCACTGTAATGTTCTTAGAAAAATGCATTGGAATTCCATTCACATTTTGACTGTTACTTTATAGAGTGAGTGGTTGACGTCCAGGGATCAGGCTTGATGGTAAGTGGAGAATCAGAATGAGAGAACACACAATG